AGCCTGAGAGCTGAACTGGGTGTGGGTGTGGGTGTGCGTACAATTTTTTTTATTGTATCTTTTTAAAAAAAGCTGGGCTAGAAAGTAACATCTGGGAAAGTTGTTTAGAAAAAAAAAATATATATATATATATAAGGACAGCTTTTTGTATTTTAAACACTCAAATAATTTTGTCCAACTGCCGTAAGGGCTGACACCCTTTTCATCTCATTTTGAGCACACCTTTAAAACAAACCACAACAATGGACAAGGCTTCCTGCATCCATTTCCTGCTACGAGTCAGGCTAATTCTTTGAAATAAATATGTTTTGGGTTATTTTTGTAAGGGTGATGTTTAATATCAGTTATCCCAGAGTGTAAATGTGTAGAATACACCAAAGATTTAACATCTGCTAAAAATAATTATACAGAGGATCTCGAGTTCTCTATTTTAAGATTATTAGGATATTGTACAGGTGGCCAAATTATAAAATATGGTTTGAATTCAGTGCCTGGGCATTCTCATAACACGCATTGGATCACAGGGTCTGGAAGCCACATGTGGGCCGTGGAAGGCCCGAGGGGAGCTCAGACGCTCAAGGGCCGCTTCCCAAACGTCACGGGCCCGCACGGCGGCCCTGCAGAAACACCCAGCAGCAGCCCCTGCGTGGAGGGGACGCCAAATGCCCCGAAACGCTGCTGCCCGTTCAGGCAAGTGCCCATTCCTATGGGCTTTGCTTCACTCCGTACTGATCGAGTCAAGGCCTTCAGCAACCAGTCTTAGCTTAATTGCCTAACCCAAAATGGAGGCTGCCAGTGTTAACACCCAGCAAAAACCAAAGCCATACGTAACCACCAATTGCTTTTGATCCTGTTTCTTTGTTCGTAAGACAACGCAAAAGCTGTGACATGTTATATTAAACAATCCTGTGTAGTCACACGGAGTATGACTCAGTATTTATTCCTGTTTTGAGTGGGCTGCTTCTTAGTAAACGAACATGAAAGAAGGTTGTGTGTATTTCTCACTTTTAATCTCACAATTCTCATTTTAAGTTAACCTTCTGAGGATCTTTTGTTCTGTGATATTAGACAAATTGCCATTATCATCTTAGTTCATCCCTGACAAATAGAGCTAGTATTTATTTTAAATAAGAAGTGCTATTTCTCTCTCAGTAACAACAAAACCTGAACTGATATGTTTGAGAGAGTACATGACTTTCTTGGTTCAGCCAAGGCTGCAGCAGAACCTCTTGCCAGAGTACTCACAATTTTAAACTTCAAATAAAACCTGAAAACCTTCAACTAAAATTGTACTAGACAAACTTGCATAATCTACAGTTTATTTATTTTCCATGGTAGGATGTTAGCTGCAAATTGCAACAATTCACAGAATCACAGAATGGTTGAGGTTGGAAGGGACCTCTAGAGATCATCTAGTCCAACCCTCCTGCTCCAGCAGGGACACCTAGAGCACGTGGCACAGGGTGGCATCCAGGCGGGTTTGAAGATCTCCAGAGAAGGAGACTCCATAGCCTCTCACACTTGACTTTTACTAACAAGGTCTCTTCCATGTTCATAAAGATAGAAAACATTTGCTTTGCTGTGTATAAGGCAAAGAAAAACAGAAAAAAAAACAGAATTATTTTTCGTTAAAAATTACTGAGTTGACATACTCACGTAGAGGCTCAGACAGCTCATAGCAAAGCGGAGCCGTTGAAGGTGCTTTCCTGGGGCATCTGCACTGCAGAGCGCCTCCTCATGGGGCACTGCAAGGCCCTCAAACCTGCCACGTGGGGCACTCAATTCAGATTGCAAGTCAAAATGTTTTACACCAGTGCTTTCTTATCAAAAAACAAAAGAAATGATGATTTCTGACAGGATCAGCAGGGTCTGCTGAAGTGTTCTCCAGCATTTAAGCATGCAAATAGCTTGGGTATTTTGCACTTGTTTTCTGTGATTATTCTGTCCTAAAAACACATTTTTTTTAAATCAATGTAGAAAAGAATTGAACTGCACAAAAGCAATTTTTATACAGAGAGAATGCTGCTCAGAACCAGCAGGGAAGAGCTATTGCACCTTAACCTCCACTTTTATTTCACAGCAGTTCTCCTATGTAGGCAAACCCCCATTTTATAGGATGATCGGTGCTAAGCCTCTCCTACTGTGTTCTCCCCTTTTCCATGCTGGCTTTTTCTGTTTTAATGCAAAATGCCAAATACAACCCTTCTACCCCCCAATTTTTTGTCCTTTGGAAGGCTACTCGTTTGCTGCTCAGCAATCCAACCGCTGCTATCAGTGATCATGACCACTACGTGCGCTCCTCTGTTTGCTTCCTATGAGGCACTGGATCCACTTTTAAAGTCTACAAAACTGATGGCAGGGAAAAAAAGACAAAGAAAAAATCAGCTGTGGTTTCAGTAGACTGTGAAATAGCCTTGAAGGGCTCCTTGAAGGGATCCACATCCCAACCAGATCTGGCAGCAGCAGTCCATCTCATACTTAATAAACACAGCACGTGGAAACACTCCGTAATTCGGGTAAAACTTTTGAATGCACATGGTTTATGGCAAATGCTTCTACATACTTGAATTTCATACAATATATAACGTATTTCTGCTCGGTTTTTTTCCCTATGATATTTATCAATACAGGAACTCAGTGTTTCCCAGAAAGTAGGAAGGCTTACCTCAAAACTCTCATCTCCTCCAGCCAGTTTCCTATCCATGCTGGTTGCTGTTGCATGCAACAGTTGGTAAGGTTTTTAGTTTAAAATGTTTGAAGAACTGCAGAGCTGAGGGCACTGAAAAAAGAATCGCACGAATCTTTCATTGCCTCATTTCAGTCTTCGTTCATTTAATTTTTCAGTTAACCCAGCACTGCTCTTTGGCAGGGCAGTTTTACACGGGGAAAAAGCAATTAACACTGCAGATAGAAATACAAATATCTTAAAGCGTTGGGTAGGGACTGAAGTAGATTTGCACAAGCAGATTTCCAATATTTTCCTTGACGTTGCCTACTTGATTTCCCATTTTTAAAACAATTTTTTGGGCATAGAAATTGTAATATTACACATCACGACAAGTTTTTCCTCTGAGGCTTTAGCAACACAGCACGGACTGCAGCGTTGGGGTTTAAGGTATTTGCTACCAGCGTAAGGAAGCTGGAGTCTACAAGTTACGTTGCAGTAAGTAGTAAGATAAGGAGACTTTCATACAGGAAGGGAGATATATTTAGCATACCTTGGAATATTAGAAAATGGTGCAGCCAATGTATCAGCAACAGCATTCTCATATCAGATCACGTGTACAAACAAGTTTTAATTAAAACATTATGTGGAAACAGAAAAACAAACGAACCGCTCATCCCACTTCACACTCCATCAGATTTTTCCAAAACGCAGTATCACCTCAAGCAACAGCTACATGCTTAGCTCCAAACTTCAGTTATTTTAACAAAGTTTAAAGTCAACACCTAACCAATAAGCAACTTTGAATCCACATCAATTAAAATTTACTACAGCTGAAGCTGCCATCCAATATGCAGTTAAAAGACACAAAAACCTAAGTTGCAACAGACCTGCTGAAGCCAGCGACTACTTCAGCAGACACTGGTCATGGTTACCCCTCTCAAAGCAGAAGGCAGGGCAGCTCCATTCCAGGAATGGACCATTCCAAAATTTTCACTGGGCATCCACTGTAAGTCAAAGCTAAAACTAAGTAGAAAACTTTGAAGCCGTTGAAGCCATTTAGCTTTGAAGCTAAAGATTTGGCTACTCACAGTTAAAAAACCCCCATGCAGTGACACTATCTTTGGTAGCAACAAAATATGTTTAGTATCATATTATTATTGACTTACACTAGTATGTGAAAGTATGTGTCATGCATGTATCTGCATGACAACCCCAATAAATATTTTAAGTACTGCTGAAATTAACTAATTTTGAGAGAATAATTTGTTAACACTAAAATCTGAATGCTTTTCTCAGAAAATGTCCTCTTGAGCATAAAAGACAACACGCTATTCCCACTACTGCCAGCAATTAAAAGCATTGCAGCAACTTGTAACGAGGACTGATTAATTCAGTCTGCTTGCAACAATCTGAAGACATTTTTACCTGTGAAATTAAAACAGGAGGAAAACCTTCACAAGCTTCAAAGTTGATTCTACACCTGGAATGCTGTGCTCTCCCCCAGAAGCGCTGGGAGCATGCGAGCCCGCCGCCCCATTGCGGTGAGATGGGTTTTGGGAGAGCTGAAGGCAGTGTCACGGCAGCACCCCCACAGCCCCAGCTCCCACTTCACCACCCAGTTCTTGTGCATCGGCTCTAAGTGCCAGCAAGTCGCGACGCTTTGAGCAGCTGCTGCATGTGGGGAGCAACACAGCTCAAAGGGGGCCACGTCCCTTCCCGCAGGCTGTGCAAGAAGCATCTTCTACAACAGCCGGGGCAGCTTCCCCAGTGAATCCAAGTCAAGCCTGTCCACTCAAAAGATCTTCGAAAAACACCGCATTTCTGGCTATGCTACATATTCGTAAAATCAGCCTTAAATTCTTGGGTTTGCATGAGGAAGCCTGCTGACATTATTTACTGTACTTCATTCTGAACAATATACATATATGGTTGCAAAAAGATGCAGAGTTGACTTTTTCCATAACAGATAAAGCTTAAAAGAAGAGTGAGTAGTAGGGCAGCTTTTAGCTCTCAAGATAGCTGCCCTCACTAGATATGACTAGACTCCCCAACTGCACTGCCTCTTTGACATATGGAAGGTACACATTTACAAAAGTCTGTCAATTCAGAAGGAGAAAAAATAAAGTTGATTTTCATATTCAAGGTATCTTTTGTACACAAAATTGCTCCAGATGAAAGTCTACCATACCATACAGAAGAAATATACATATTTGTAGTGATGAATTCAAGAATAAGAAAAATAACTGCAAAAGTAAAAGTCTATTAGGATTTATTCCACTTTTAAAGAAATAACTACAATTCCAAGATCTCCTCTGCAGAAGAAACAGGAGTTCACAGGAATGGAGTCTATGTCATAAACATCCTTTTTATATATAGATATTATTGTGAGCTTCATTTGTTGTCAGTAGCTTCTTCAAAATCTTTGTGCTCTCAGAGGTATCCTAATGAAAAGAAGAGATAATCAGCATTACCTACATGGCTGGTAACAAATACAAGCAAACAAGCTTAATTTCCTCCCATTCCAATATTTATTAGTGTGCAGCCTAGTTTGATTAAAACAGCGACAATGACAAAACTTAGGTCTCACAAATGAAGTTATCCAGAATACTGTTAAAAGTTCCAAAGGAATTTGCAGTTTAACCATGCCCTTGTTTTTTCAATTTGCATTTGTCCACCCTTGCATGATCAAACCCAAGAAAAGAAAGAATCTGGATTTTTAAACACTTGCATACTAGCTCTTCACCTTACTTAGTAGGCCAGTAAAAGTTGTAATGAAAACTGATTTGGAATTCCTACAGTTACAGCAGAAATAAGCATTCCAGCATACACAGGTCTCTAACTTAAATGGAAAACCAGCTGAACAAGCTATTTTTGAAATGGCTACACTTTCTAAAAGAAGAAAAACATTGAGTTCAGTTGCTAGAATGTGATGACCACAAAGCTGTTTGTTTAGCGTACAGCTGGAAGAGTCAACTTTATAAATTTGTAGTCGCTGTTTGTTTAGCGTACAGCTGGAAGAATCAACTTTATAAATTTCAAATCCAAAAACAAGTTATAGGTCAAACTTAAGAAACTTTCAGGTTTTGCCCAAGACAGGTAGATACAGAGCTAGCACAGAATCATCTTATGTATGCACATAGAATATCAAAAAAAGATGCACACACTTTGGCATTTTAAAACAAGACACATCTGAGAGAAGCTGTAGCTTAAATAATCACAATAAGTAACTCCCTGAAATATTGTTATCATTTCAAGTGCTTGAAAATTTAAGCTGAGGGTTTGAGAAAAGCTATATATTCATTACTTCTATGCAGCTTATAAACGGATATAAAAGATTACAGCAGGTACTGTTTCAGAAATCACTATCTGCACTTAAGAACCTAAATAAAAAGAAACTAAATAAAGTTTCTGTATCTTACATGTAGCATTTTTTAGAGGCACAAAAACAACAGAATGAAATCGAGATAAGAGAGAGATAAAGACAGACAGCATCTTCCTTGTACCTTAACTAAACTCTTCAGGATTTCAGAAGAAAGCAGAGGCTTGAACGCTTCAACTGTTACTGTGTCCAGTTTGATGACATCAGTGTAGCACTGATACAATACCGCAGGAATCTGCCACACTTGGCAATAACTCAGAACTAGATAAAAGAGAAAAGGTCTTAAATTCAGTAGAGAAAAAATCTCAATTCTTAAAGTAAAATCTCATTTTGTTCTGTCCAGATCTTTTTTTTAAAAAATGGTATTTAACAAACAAAGTTTTATTACTACAAGACCAGAATGGCTCATACCCCCAGGTACACAAGAAACAGCTACCAAACAGTGAATAATAAGTGGCGCTTTGTTTCTAGCACATATCTTAATCAGAAATTACATGGTACTGGAAAGGAAAAATAGAAAAACTTTATTTAAAAAAGCCAAATCTAGAAGTGCATAAAAACTCTCTTTTTCTCAGAAATTTTTCTCCTTATAGGTCCTGAAGGACAACTTTTTACTTGTAGTACTATTATTCTAGCACTGCATAATGAAAAGACTTGGAAGAGTTACTATATTACAGGCGAATACAGCAGAATCCAGCTTTTATATCAGGCCCATCCTGATATATTTCACTATTCCATGGTGAAACCTACACCCCTAATAGCAAGCAGAAAGGGTTTTATAAGCCTCAAATATGGTACTCAGGTGAAATACCACTTACTGGGCATTTCAAAGCCAATATATGACACACTTTGTGGAGTTTTATGACAGAATTTGCTAGTACTTAGGCGGTAAAAGGATTTGTGTTTTTTAAATATGTTTGTATTCTAGAAGAAAACACATAAGATGTAAGACTGCTAGGAATTTTTTGTAAGTTAACTTAATAACTAATTCATGTAATTGAAGATTTTAATTCTAATGGGATGCTCTTCAAAACACAACTCCTCCTGTAAGCAGCAGTGCTCAGCAACATGGTAAATAGGTGAAACTGCACAGTACCAGCAGCAGGCAGGTCTCGCACAATGTTAGGTTGTTCCAGCAGTGGGCAGCACAATGGTTCTTTGAATTCTTTTGTCTTTAAAGCTTTCAGAAAAGGAGATGGAAGTGTTAAAGTGGATTCCTGAGTTTTATATTCAGCTACAGGACACGTTGAAAGAATGGTTACTTGCAAGCCTTCCTTTCTCATGCAGCCAAAAACCTGAAATAAAAATATTAGTTCCAACATATGTTTATGTATTGCAGTAACAGCATAAAAACACAAAGATCCATTTTAATTTAGGTGCATATGGCAAAGAACAGTTTAACTGAGGTTTGCATGACTGACTAAAATTGAGTGACTAAAATGTATGTACATATACAGCCAGATTATTCACCTGGCCTACTGAACTTGCTAAAATCCGTATCACGAGTTTTGGAGGGATATGAAAGACTCAGCCATGCCCATGGCTTGAAAGATGCAAGAGCAGCCCACGTAGCAAAGCGAGTATATGAACAGGCTGGAAAGATGGTGCTTTAAGGGCACCTTCACTTAGAATTCCATCCTGGGAAAGAGACTGAGGGCACCTGTCAGCAAAAATGGCACCTATCACCAGCTTCAA